TTAATATCATCTTGTTTTGAAGTCCTACCATACTCCTGTTCTTCTGTTTCCATTGGTTCTATCATGTAATATCTTATTGGATTTTATCATATGTGGTAGTATAAACAAATTTTTTATGGACAATTGGATAATATAGTAACCATTGTTCGTTTTCTGTTACTTGGTTTTGAATGCCCTGTAATGCTTTTATTCTCTTTAATGGCTTTGTACTATTTTGTTATGTTTGATACCATTGTGTATGAAGGTATGCTCAACTATTTCAAGGAAAGAGACATTATGGTAGCTACTGTTATATCAGGTTGTCTTGTGGTGAAATACTGTGTTGCTTAAATTGATCTGTTCTGATCTGCTTTGTTATGTCCTCTTTTATCTTAATCTCTTTAAAATAAAAAAATTTTAAAAAGAAAACATTAAACAAGGACCACAAAAATCAAGACAATTATATTATATCAGGTGATAAAACACTGTGGAAAGAAGAAGAGGTACTGAGAACAGGAGAGAAAAAAATGTAAAGTGGGTTACAGATACATATATAACTATGACTACTCTACATTTAATATGCAAAATATAAAGACAATAAATAATATGAATTTTAAAACATAAAAGAATACTGCATTGCGAGAGGTTTTCACATGGCTATCAGATCATTTCCCGGGGGCAGTATACTTATTCATGTTCGCTTTTCCATCGGAGTAGAATCGAATCTAGTATTTTGTATTTTCACTTAAGTCAGAAACTCTTTCCTAAAATGTTCTGGGTGCCGGAGTGGGGACAAAAGGTGAACAAGAGAATCTCTAAGCTTCAGAAGCTCTTGGAAGGAAAAGTGCCCAGAAGTGTCTGCAAGTCATGGCAGTATAAGTGAGAATAGATGGGCGTTGCAGGGGAAACAGAGACAAGAGGACGCGGGGGCACCAGCGTGGTGAAGGCAGGTCTGCACGGGGCTCTCACGTAGTTTGGTGTCAGAGCTGGCTTTGAAGGAGCAGTAGAATCATAGTGAACAGGTGTGCAGGGCATGCTTACATCTTTGAGAGAACAGCAAGAGTGAGGTAGACCTCGGGTTTTTTTCACACACAGAACCCTGTAGCATTTCACCAGCGCTGATTTCATTTTTCTCAGCTCTTAGATGGGGAAATTGAGGCTCCTCAGACTTATTTCATTTACAGAGGGTAAAGTTCCTGTTTGTCCTCCTTATAAGTGACTTCAGCTGTTATCCATTCTTTATCCAAAATTCTTGTCCTCTTCCCAGATTGAGTTTGACTGGGTCTCTCTCACCTATGCCTGAGTGTTTGCACTTCCAGAGACCCTCAAACTCGCTCCCTATCACTGGAGAGCTCCTGGGAATAGAAAGAGGGAGCCAGCAGGTGATGCAAAACATCTTTCGGGTCTATGAGCCTTACCTCTGCAGTTTTCTCCCAGTTCCTTGGAAGACCCTGGTACCTTAGGGACACTGTGATGCCAGAGAGAGGGGAAGGAGAGAAGATCAAGACCAGACCACCTCCTGGAAGGCTCTGGTGGCCTCAGTTGGCTTATTTCCTGATAAGAGGTAAATAGCATATGTGTCCAGAATTTGGACAGAGGGTTGTAAGAAAGATGAAAACAACAGAGAATTGCTTCCAAGACAAACTGACTCATCGGATTCTTGACTCAATTAGGATCATTCACCCAAATTAAGCTTCTACATAATTGGTTTTACCCTAGTGCTGTTTCCTAAAACAAATAATGCCAAATGATTTCAAGACTGCATCTTTGAGTCTTGCTTAAGGAATGCTCTTTCTTTCGAGGAACTGCTTGAGGAAGGCGGGTAACAGGAATGCTACCCCCATTCCTCCTAAGGAGGCACTTCAGGAGGACCTTGTGGTTCATGGAAGAGCAGAGCTGGAATCAGATCTCTGCACTTTGGCTGTGACCTGCCCATCGGCCCTGGCTGCCCCAGAATATCCCCCTCCTGGAGGAAATCTGGGCATCAACACAAAAAGCCTTGCCCAGGCAGTAAGCACATAAGGAAAGGCAAAAGTTGCCAGTGCTAGGAAAGCTGCTGTTTTGGAAGCTTCCGGGCTGTTATCAGTGCTGATAGGTGAGCCAACTGGAGCAGACACTAAACTAAATGTGCCAAGCACAGTGAGGTGCCTTCCCTTGGCTCCCACTCCTCAGCGTGCAGCAGGAGATCCACTTGGGTTTCATTTGCAGCTGTTCGGTTCACCACTGCCTTGCGTGCTTTCCAGCAGGCATAAACAGAAATGGGTGTCTCTCTGGGCTCAACAGACCCCTGGAAAATGTTGGGCCCAGGCCGGTTTTGTTTGGTGCGGGCACCCTTATTTTCTACCGCTCCTGCCTCTCCTAGCAATTTTGCCACTGTGCCAGTTACATAAAGACATGGGCACGGGGTGGGGAGTGGGGAGGTCAGGATGGTGGCAACTCTTCTTGGTCTATTTAGGTCAAAAGGACCTCCAATTTCACCTGACCAGTGACCGATTCCTCAGCTCCTTGGGGGCTGTCTGTTCTCCACATGGTCCTGGGAACCCCTTTTGCTATAATAATAGAATGTGAAGCCATAGCTAAAAGAGTTCATTTCACACATACGGTGATAGGAGCAATTTCCTTTGGCAAATTGTCTCCCCTCTGTGGAGTCCAGTTTTCTGTAAGTGAACATCGTCAGTCATTCTCCAAACCCCGATGCCTACAACAGTTTGATGCTGGGGCTACTGGGCACATGGGCACTTTGGTATCATAATGGAAGTGAACTCAGAGAATCTGACATAAACTCCCACATGGCCTGCAGACTGGACTCTGTGTCATTTACATCATGCTGCTAATTATTAAAAGGCTATGGCTTGACTCACTTGGAGACTCATTATACAAAATATCATCATGTCCCAGCCTTCAGGCACTTGGGGTGCAGAGGACAGTTAGCCAATGCAGTATGTTAAAAGTAAAGCAAGAAAAAATATTCCTTAAATATGCAGAGTTGTTCTTTGAAAAGCACTTAATGAACTTCGCTTCTCTGATCTGGCAAAAGCCCTGACAGGCCAATAATTTAAGGTACCAGTGTAAGGTAGGTTGGGAACAGCTAGAGTTACAATAAAGATGACAATTTGCCTCCGTGAACTTGTCTTTGACTACATCAGAGTCACGAAAGACCAAGAAAGAGCTGAGAAGCAAATGAGCTTTGAAAATTAGGTGGTGAAATCATGCTTTATTTTCTTAAAAAAAATTCTTCCAGGTACTCTGCAGCACAAAAGAAGATTTTCTAATGTCCTACATCTCACCCAGATGTCCTCAATCTTGGGTACAAATTAGGATGCTTGGGAGGGATGTTACCTGTTACGGCAGAGATGTTGTACTGTTAGAACAGAAATCCTGATACTGAATAATTTCTAAAGACCAGAGATTTGTTGCTTACAGTTCTTCAAGCTGGGAAGATTAAGGTCCAAGGGTTCGTATCTGGAGAGGGTCTTCTTTCTGTGTCATCCCATGGCGGAAGAAAGAAGGGCAAGAAGGCATAGCAGAGGCGGGACCAAACTTATCCTTTTATCAGGAATCCACTCTCAAGATAATGGCATTAATTTATTCTAGTTGCTCCCTAAAGGTCACAGTTTCCAAGACTGTTGCATTGAGGGTTAAAGTTCCAACATATGAACTTTTGAGGACACATTCAAAGCATATCAGATTTTTTTTAAAAGTCCCAATGCTAAGCAAGAACTCAGATCAGGATCATTAGAAATCTCTAGTGGCATCACTGTCTTTTGAGAGTTCCACAGGGGATTCCAATGTGCTAAGAAGCCTGGTCTCCAAACCAGCAGCGGCAGCCCCCTCCAGGATCCTGTTGAGGATGCAAGTTATGCTGTGCCCCAGACCTGGAACAGAGTCTCTGGAGGGGGAGCCCAGCAATCTGGACTGAAACTGGGTGCTTTTAAAACATGCCGAGGTTTCAATACCCTCACCTGGGTACAAGGCTATGTATGGTTTGGGGCAGGGGAATTTTGCAAGCAGAGATTTCTGACTGCTTCCCTGGCTATAGAACATTCCATGTGGATTTAAGTAACAGTTGTTTTCAGTAAACCCACCAACATGAATGAAATGCAGAAATTACTCTTAAGTAATTCGCTTGCTAGAGTCATTGCTTCTAAACCAATTCATATTTGAGTCTCCTAATGTTGCCCACGGTAATCCTATTTTCACATGGGCATTAACCTATAAGAACTCCTTAGTAGTAACTGGTAGCAGGATTTTTGTCCATTGTGGTCACTCTGGGTTTTGGGAAATACAACAATAGCTTCAATATAAGACATGGGGCAGCATTCTCTGCATCCATGGGTGGTTTCAAGACACTTAAGAAAAAATTGAGAGGCTGAGGCAAGAGGATCACAAGTTCAAGTCCATCCTGAACATCTTAGTGTCTTATAAAGACACTATCTCAAAAATAAAAAACTGAAAACAGGAAGGGAGGGAAATGTAGCTGAGTGAGAAGGCCCTAAGTTTGATCCCAGTACCATGCTTGTGTGCGCGTGTGCTCACACACATGCACACTTACACACACAAAGAATTGGTGGCAAGAATGAGGAGGCCGGGCATCTCTTGAGCCCATGCCACATTACTTAGCTTAACAGGCCTTGCAAAGACTTCAAAGCCTAGCTATCAGGAGGGCCACAGACATCTGAGAGCCATGGTCCACCAGGGGACAGCCCACTCTAAAACCCTACAACCTCAAATCCTTGGGCTACAATTTCTTAACTAGGTGGAAAAACCAATAAAGTCATCCTGGAACCACAGAATGTGCGCCTGCTATGTCCTGTCTGCCTGCAAGATCAGTGATATTGCCTATTCTCCAAAAAGGAAATGACGCAGAAGAGAAGGCTCACTTCTGTCACCTGGGCCTCTGTGCGTGTGTGTGTGTGTGTGTGCGTGTGTGTGAGTGTGTGTGTGTGTGTGTGTGTGTGTGTGTGTGTGTAATTTAGCCAATGTGCACTTCTGATTTCAGGCTGCATCTTTCTTTTCGGCAGCTTGCCTGGGACGTTCACTCTCCCACCGTGGAAGCTTGCAGCCCAGGATGATCTTGCCTAATTCCACAGCTGTGATGCCCTTCCTGACCACCGTGTGGCAGGGGACAGTTCAACCCAGTAGCAATGCATCTGGCCTGGCCCGGAGGTCCCCTCTCCGCGATGACGGCAAGCTGGAGGCACTCTACATCCTCATGGTGCTGGGCTTCTTTGGTTTCTTCACTCTGGGCATCATGCTGAGCTATATTCGATCCAAGAAACTGGAGCACTCGCACGACCCGTTCAACGTGTACATCGAGTCAGACACCTGGCAGGAGAAGGACAAAGCATTCTTCCAGGCCCGGGTTCTGGAGAACTGCAGATCGTGTTGCGTCATTGAAAACCAGCTGACCGTAGAGCAGCCCAACACATACCTGCCCGAGCTTTAGTCTTCCTTCTGAGTGCCACGGCTGGTGAAGGGTGGCCAAGCTGCACGTGATAATGTGGTATTTCCAATCACATGCTTCTCAGATTCATTATTGTATCCATGCCTCTGGGTTTCTTTTGTCACTTTTGGGGCTTTGTGGAAGAGGTTTAATGATACTATTTCCTAAAATCACATTCCCTCTACAGCAGACTGTTGATTATTCCCAAATATCTGTCCTTGCCTTGTTATATAGAGCAGAATTCCTGACCATGGCCTCCAAATATATGGGCTGCAAGCTGGATATGTTGCATGTCTTAGTTACTTTTCTCATTGCTGGATCAAAATATCCAACAGCCAAAGTACCAGAAGGAAAAGTTTATTTAGCCAGCAGTTTGTAGAGGTTTCAGTCCATAGTCAAGTGGCTCCAAGGCAGGATGGAATGACACATAGATATCGCAAAGGAGAAACAGTTCATAATGAGAAGACAGCAAAGCAAGCAAGGGATGACCACAGCTCTTTTATTCTTTACATCTTATCCAGGCTATTTAGGGCAGGTAGCACTCACACCCTTAATCCCAGTGCCCTTGAGCTTAGCATTAGCATCAGTCTTGGCATCACACACTGTAGATCCTGCTGCATCTGAAAAAGCTTCACCTATGACTGCATGAGGCTTTCAGGGGCTACCTAGACCCAAGCCATAACAATGGCAGTCCTATAATCACAGCACTCTGGGAGGCTGAGGCAGAAAAACTGCAAGTTCTATCCCAGCCTGGGAAATTTAGTGACTTAATAAGTCTCCGGTCTCAAAATGTAAAAAGAGTTGGTGATGTAGTTCAAAGAAAAGGCCTACCCCATTTTAAAATATATATATTTATATATAATATATAAACATATATATAATAAATACATAATATATAATACATATATAACATATAATAAATATATATGTATATATACATATATATTTACACAGTCAGTTATAGTTATATAGTTATATAGTTATATAGTTATATATGCTATATTTCCCATACTCCCTTGTAGTTATCAAGGTGTCATGATCATCTTCTGGCCAGTACAAGTGGAAATGATCATGCAATCTCCAGGTGGTCCTTGGAAAGGTAAAGATGTCTCCTGTGCTTTCCTTGTCCTCTTCCCAGTGGCTGGGACATGATGGATATTGAGCAGCTTTACCTGGGGAAAAATAGCACATTTTCAGGTAGTAAAGGAAGAGCCTGGGCCCTGGGCAAAGCCGTGGAGCAGGAGTACCATGCCTTCCTGGACTCACCTGGTCAAGTTCATGGGAAGGAGAATTCGACACCACCCTCCCTGAAGCCACTGCTCCAGTAAGCAGAATTAACATCGGCTCTGATAAACCTGCCTTACACTACTGCACCCAAAGGCATGGCATGCTCATATTTATCCCAAGCACAGCACCACTACTGTCTTTGTCTCTTCTGGTGCTGTCCTCCTCCTGTGCTCCTGTCTCCCATTCCTCCCCACCAACCCACTCTTGACACTCCCACACAAACACACAGACACACACACACTTCCCACTCATGCATCTCAATCTACAAGGAACTTGTTTCCTACAGGACTGAGATGGAGAAGGAAAACATAGTTAGGGGAATATGTACCCAGAATACCTACCCAGGGGAAGGTGCTCAGTTACCATCAGAGGGAGAGAAGTGCCTCCACCCCTGCCAAGAGCCCAGGAGAGGGGTGGATTGAGCAATGACAGCACACAAGACTGGCAAGACCTATTGAGGTGAATAAAGTAGCTGTCTGATGGGTTGAATTGTGCTCCCCAAAAGCGACATTCCAGTCCTAACCCCTGGTACCTGTGAGGGTGACTTTATTTGGAAATAGGGTCTTCATGGATGCTCATGTTAAGATGAGGTGTTTGCAGTGGGCCTGAACCCAGTACGACAAATGTCCTTTATAAGAAGAGGGGAAATTGGACACAGGCACAAGGAAAGTGGCTTAGGATGGCAGAGCAGAGGTTGGAGTGATGTCGCGCAAAGCTAAGGGCCCACCAAGACTTGAGGGCCCCCCACAGAAGCTGGAGAGGTCAGCAGGAAATGAGGTCCCGCCCACACCATAAAGTCGGACTTCTGACCCCTCACTTTAGAGAGGATGCCTGCCTGTCCTTCAAGCCCCTATTTTGGGATGCTGTGGTGTGGCAGCCCTTGCCACCCATCCCTGGGGACAGAGATAGTCTCAGAACCCCTGTCATTGAATGTGGGAAGTGGGTAAGGAATTTGGGGGGATATTACCTGGGAAGAGGCTGCCTCTGTCCTGGGAGGGTAACAGAGAGCTAGTGCCAGCCTCCTCCAGCTGCCACCTGCAGCATCAGGGCCCCATGAACTACGATAGCCCAGACATCTCGTCTGGCTGACCATTCTCAGAGAGTATGGAATCCTTAAATAACAGTTAATCTAAGTGAAAAGCAGCACATAAGCATCCTGAATTTGTCCTCAGACACATTGGGCCCCATCTCATACATGAGGCCTTTGTTGATCACAGGGGCATTTCTGAGTCACTGCAGGCCTCCAGATGTGTGACTCTTTGGATCGCTGAGTCCACTGAGAGTCTAGTGAAAGCTCTGGACCTCCCCGACTCCAAATGCACACAGACACAATATTTGGCCTACTGTCTCAGGGGATCATGGGCTCCTGGAGCCCAGCGATGGCTGCTGCCACCTCATGGCCCCATGTGAGCTGGCCCCTGCTTCAGGCAGACACATGTTGGCTGCCTGAAGGCAAGGAGTTTGGAAAGGGAGCCAGAGCACTTGTGATTCGCAGTGTGACCCAGAGCAGCACGATATGCCTGATATTCCAGACACACAGCCGGGTCCTTATCACCAGTCACTTCCCTGCACCGAGATGCCTGTGCCTTTTAAGGCAAGGGACATCCTGAAAGCCTTAGTCCTCCCTGCCCTTGAGAGACCAGGCCATTTTTCCACTTCCCCTAACTGCAAATCTTTCTTTTTCCTCTTCACTTCAATTTTAAAGTGCAGAAAGAGTGATGGGGAGAGAAACCAAGCCACACATTTTGAATTGCTTGTACCATAATATAAAATCTGCTTTCACATGCATGGAGTACTTGCTATGTGCTGGATACTATTGCCAGCCCTTTACAAATAGAAGCTCAATATTTTGCAGGCAGTATTTTATATGTTCATAGATGACAATGGTGCTTTTGCTGTATTAAGATTTTTTTTTAAAGAAAATTATTACCATAATCTGGCAAGTGTCCTTTATCCCTATAATACTTTAAGAGGGTGGGTAACAGTCTTGGAGGCTCAAGGAAATCCTGATTGCTGGGAGTTCAGTCTGCTACCAACCCCCAGCGTGTCAGAACAGAGAAGCAAGGCCCCTCTGAGGCCTGCAGATGGGAAACAAGGGGAGCAAAGCCCAGAGAAGGATGGTAGCAAACTGGATTTCTCAGCTCCTGGCATTTGCAGCCAGCAGGGCACATGTACAATGGACTTCTGTGTATTGTAAAAGAAGCTGTGAAATCTGATCTTACACATCAGCAACTAATCTCAATTTTAAAATGATGGGAGTTAAAGAAAATACGACCTTGAACTAGATTCTGCCCAAAGTCCCTGATGAACAGTCTCTGCTCTAAAGAAGATGCTTCCAGGCAGTCCCAGGCCACACCTGATAAAATGTGCCATGGCTTGGATGTGATACCCTCCAAGGGCTCAAGAATGGAAGGCTTTCTCATTCCTCAGTGTGGCAGTGCTCAAATGTGGGCATCGTTAAGATGTGGTACCCGGTGGCACAGCTAAGTCACTGGGGTGCTGCCCTCAGAAGGGATTAATACAGTTCCCATGGGACCCTGGTGGGTTCTAACGAGAGAGGCTGTAACAGGAAAGCAAGACTGGTCCCTTGGGGCTTTCCCTCTTCCATGTGATTTCCCGATGACGCATCTTCCATGTGGCACAGCCAAGGGTTCTCAGCAGACAGCAGAAGGAAGAGCCCATCCTGATCCCCAGAACTGTGAGCTAAACAAGCCTCTGTTCTGTATACATTCCTAACCTTGGGTGTTAGGTAGAGCTACAGAAAATAGACTGATACAGAAAGCATGCACAGGGTTGGCTGGGGCCCTCTGCTGGCCGGACCAGGCACTTCCCTAAGTGTCATCCTGGACCAGGCCTGAGCTATGACGAAGTGCTACATATCAGGCTGTCCTCACCTGGCCACCCTAGAACAGCCTATGCATCTGACTCCCAGCCAGACACTAGGCCCCTAGCTGTTGTCACAGGTGAGGACAAATTTGTCGAGGCTGGAGCAAAGAGGAGAAGCCTGCCTGGCAAGGTGAACCCACACAACATGGAGGTGACAAGCTTCTGAGTCTCTCCAGGACCCAGGGCTCACAAAACCAGCATGCCAGCCACCATACAGAATATCACCCCTCCAGAGCTCCATGGCCTGGCTGTATGAACAGCTTCAAACTTTTCCAAGATAGATAAGCAGTGGGGAATTCCCTGCATGGCTGGATTTGAAGAGCTTGGTGAGGTTACTTGGACACTGGCAGGGGAAACTGAGGCTCAGCAGGATTCAGGGGCACCCCTAAGGCCACTGGTTATTTAAAGAAGGAAGCCAGAAAAACCTCTCCTTCCCTAACTCCCAGCCCCCACCCTTCTCCACCTGCATGGTCATGCCAAGGGCCTGGAAGTGGGGCAGGGTGACAGGACTGTACTTGGACAAGTCATTGCCACTGCCACAAAACGGACCTTTAGCAGACACCTCAGGACAGGGAAGGGGACTCTGAAGTCACTGAGTGTATTTTTCCACTTATGTGAATTCAAATCAATACATATTAAAATGAGGTATCAGTAATACCAGGCAATTTATTCCCAAAAATGACCCTAAAAGTCATCTGTAGTTCAGCATCTGAGCCAACTCATTAAATAAGCAAGCAGACAAAGAAGATGGAGCCACGAAGAAGCCAAGAGACAAAGCTGGCCGTGGTAGTTCATACCTGAGATCCCAGCACTCTGGGAGGTGAGGAAAAAGCTTGAAAGGAGTCTGGGCAATTTACAACTTCTCAGGATCATGTAGCAAAACAAAAAAGACTGGGAATGTAGCTCAGTACAAAGCCCTGGATTCAACCCCTGGTGCTGGGGGATGAGGGGATGTGATTTGAAATACTGCATGTGCACTTACCCCGAACTTAAGTCTCCTCAGGGACACTATCATAATTCAGTCATAGTCACAACACCGATTAGGAATCAGCTGATGAGCTGGAAAGCTGTCAGAGCTCCCATAATCTTTGTGTCTCCAGGCAAAGGCA